TCTCTCTAGACTACTCTGTGTTTGATTTTCTATCATGGATTAATTGTGGTTTCTAGTGAATTGATGGTTTAAGCTTTCAACCGGGTGACATTGCCCTAGCTGAACTTTTTCTTCTGCGCCTCCGCATGTCCTTACTATTTTTGGGTCTTCCGCTTTCTATATCATGGGAAATGGTGAAGTTTTGCTCGATACTAAAGCAGAGAAGTGGGTAATATGATAACTATACTCGGTTATTATAATAGTTTGAGGTTGATGATTTAAGCTTTCAACTGGGTGACATTGCCCTAGCTGAACTTTTTCTTCTGCGCCTCTGCATGTCCTTACTATTTTTGGGTCTTCCTATCTCTATATTATGGGAAATGGTGCAGTTTTGCTCGATACTGAAGCAGAGAAGTGGGTAATATGATAACTATACTCGGTTTTTATAATAGTTCGAGGATGAACGATAATGCTCTTTGAAACTTCTCCTTACTGCTCTAATGTGATTCCATTGTTTCCGAGCTGTCTGTGGAGGTGCTCGCGATCAAGGTGTGGTCTCTATGTAGTATATGATGATCTAAATTTATGATTTATGGTCTTAGGCTTCTGATGTTCTCCTTTTGATTTACATTTCAGTTAAATTTCCTATTGACTCTTACTTATTTCTAGAATTTCCTTGCTCATCACCATCGCATGCACCTAACCATGAGAAAGAACAACTGTGATTAATCACTTGTTTTTATTTCCAGGGGTGAGGATGATTATTTGCCTGGCAACATCATCGAAATTGAGATACATAACTTTATGACATACAATCATCTAAAATGCAAGCCTGGTTCACGTCTTAATCTTGTAATTGGACCAAATGGATCTGGAAAGAGTTCTCTTGTTTGTGCTATTGCTCTGGGCCTCGTTGGCGAGCCTCAGGTTTGTTGTTTTTTTATTGTGTATTAGTTACATCTACTTAATCAGTCACATCAGTGCTTGGAAAATGCATTGACCCTTTGTGTTTCATTTACAATATTTTTGTTTACATAGTTATTGGGAAGAGCTTCGAGTATTGGGGCATATGTGAAACGAGGAGAGGAGAATGGATACATCAAAATTTATTTGCGAGGTTACTCTCCATCAGAGCAAATAAGCATAACTCGGAAGATAGACATCCATAACAGGTCCGAGTGGATGATCAATGGTATGATAATGTTCTTTAGCCTTTGTTATTCTCTTTTCATGTCGAATATATGCTTATTTTCGTTGCAGAATTTGTGCTTATTTTCTTTTGAGAACTCTAGGAATGTGTAAATGAATATGCTCCCATTTTAATTGTATTCCTTACATGGACCTGTTATTTGTGGAATTGTCTTAAGTCATGTATCTAAAGACTCTATGTTTAATATTTTGATTTTAGGTAAGGTTCTACCAAAAAGGGATGTTCTGGAAGTCATTCAAAGATTTAATATCCAAGTGGGGAATTTGACTCAGGTAATGTGTTTGTAAAGGTTCAGTGCATTGTTGAACCCATTTTTGTTTCTCTAACTTAAAATGCTCGGCACTTGTACTTCTTGAAAGATTATGATATATGTAGCTTGGAAACTTGTGTAGAAAGCTCTGCTTAAATGACATGTTTATAACAATGTAAAGAAATATGGTTTCTGGATGGAAATCATAAAGTTCATTGTTTATATGACAATGAATACCCCTTAGGTTTATTATTTGATCATCTTATTCGTATTATTTGGAATTTATGTATGCTTGTTTTATGTTGATGACTTGGTAATTGTATGATTTGGACGGTTTGTTGTTGGGTGTGCTGAAAAATCACTGCCTAGGATGCCGTTGCAGCGATATTATGCATTTAAAAAGTATGTTGATTCTCTGAACTGTTTATTGAAACTACTTCCATAAGGTATGGATTATAAATGATGCGACTTAGATTTATATTGTGGGATGCTATTCCGCATCACCCTCTTCATTAGTAATCTTCTTTTATTTCCAGTTATTATGACTTAGGAGTGATCATAATAAAGATGAATAAGTAACACGTTTAAGACATAACGTTTACCCCGCAATAATAAATTGCATCAAAACTACTGGAGAAACAGTTCCTTCCCATCCAGCACATACATGGGTGTCTCTCTCCAAAAAGACATCAAAACTCTCATGTTCCGGTGTTGCATCGTCTGGGGAGACTCACCTATCTTTGCAGAAGATATAGAACCTTAATCACTTAGACATTGGTGAACAAGACGTGCACTAGTAGAAAGAATACAAGAGCTCTACATGTCCAATTTAAGTGATTCGAATACGATAATATAATCACATCTTCCCCGAAAAATGTAAAACTTTAAAGAATCAACCTCATACAAGATTTGAAGATTCTGTATTGTGCACAATGCAAGAAATGTATCTATCTTTAATTTGTGAAGTTATCACGGGGGATCAAGAACTTGTTGATGCAAAAAAGTTGACACCTGGTGGTTCTATTGGAGAGTGTAGCCCTGAATGAGATTGCTTGCATAGGTTGGTGAATGCAACATCTTTTGGATGGAATATTGACCGGGAAAATTTATGAATTATGGCTGCTAGCATGTGTCAACGATGATGATATTTTTCTGTACCCGTGGTAGTGTGGCTGGTTATATTGCATGCGTTAAGTGTATTTGCATGGTTTATTTCTAGTTCTCTTTTATACTTAACAACTTTTATGCTTAGTAGGTCAATTGGGGATGGATTTTGGATGATTTGGTGTGACATTAATTAAAAAGCTACATCTGTTTTAGCGCTTCTGTCAGTGCATGGAGTTCCAAGTTCTTGCTTCGATTGGTTTATCTATCAGTGCATGGAGTTCCAAGTTCTTGCTTCGATTGGTTTATCTATCTTTTAACATGCTTCTTGTGTCTTTACCTAATCTGGGTGTTTCCTAAGTGTTGATAGTTCTGTGATGATGTTGTTTTGTCCAAGGGCTATGGTTTTGACGTACTCATTACGTTTTCCCCATTTCTTTTACAGCATAAAATGCGTTTTATGTGATTAAAGGTTTAGAACATTACCAATTGTGGGATCACATTTTGCTTTTTATTCCAGTTCTTACCACAAGACAGGGTTTGTGAGTTTGCCAAGCTGACTCCCATACAACTTCTAGAAGAGACTGAAAAGGCGGTTGGAAATCCAGAACTTCCAGTTCAACACCGTGCTTTGATTGATAAAAGTCGAGACTTGAAGAGACTTGAATTAGTGAGCATTAATATGCTTTTTTATTTTCTTGATGTTCCTTATTTAAATACGTTTTTGAAATTTCTTCTATTACTGCCAATAAGATTCTCTATTATAAAATTCTAAGACTTTTCCTTAATATTTCCTAGACTGTCAAGCAAATGGGTGATACCTTGAATCAGCTTAAAGCACTTAATGCTGAGCAAGAGAAGGATGTCAAACGTGTTCGTCAAAGAGAACAACTCCTCGCTAAGGTCTTCAAACTTAGCTATCTTCTTCTGTTTACCATTCTTTTCTTCCCTTATGGTGGACTTGATGACATTGTTTCATGTGCTTTTTCCTATGGTAGGTTGAATCCATGAAAAAGAAATTACCTTGGTTGAAGTATGATGTGAAGAAATTGAAGTATAAGGAAGCAAAAGAGCTAGAGAAAGATGCGAAAAAAAAGTTGGATGAATCTGCTAAGCTCTTGAATGTGCTTACAAAACCGGTCGAGTATGGTTTGCAAATAACAATTTTCCCGTCCTTGTTGTTTTATTGGATGAACTTTATAGTGCAAGTATGTCTTCAGTTCCCTCTTTGGTTTGAAAATAATCAATAAGCACATATAGTCAATGATTGTCATGCATGTGGTCCATTTGTGGGATGCCTTAGATGGTTACTCCAAAGCGATATTGTTTAGAGGATTTTTCTGCTGTGTAAGTCCTTTGGGAATGGATGGCGTAACAGTATGGATGATGCAATAGTTGTGGAGGGACATTTCATCTCATCGCTTTGAGAGGGTATTCATGAGTTCCCAGCTTGTTAGATTTGCTGTGATGATCATATACATACTCATCTTCACTTAGCCAACAATGTTATAGACGGGTGGAACCATAGGAGGCTTCTCTGTAGGTCCATCTCTCTCGCTCTCTTTACTTTTTTTATTGGTAAGCTGGTCTATATGAGGGGCAAAAATCAATCCCTCATCCTACTTCACATAAAGTGGGTCACACAACTAAAATAAAGGTCGTGGTTTTACTGGGTTTGGATAGGTTATTGGAGTTTTATAGCTTGCTCTTGTTTGTTTTTTTTTTGTTTTTGCTACATCCTGTTGCTCTTTTCTTTTGTCAGCATGGGTTTTTTTGCTTCTTAAGCTGTTCTTTCAAACTCTGTTGCAACCATCTATTTGATCTGTTCAAACCCTTAAGACAGTTCTCTACAAAATTGATATTTATATGGGGTAATATGAGAAAAACTCAGTTAGCTCACATTTTCATATAGCAGTAATCTGGTTTCTTGAATTTGTCATAACCACAATATTTTCAACCATTTTGCAGGGAGCAAAAACAATTGAAAGCAAAGCAAGATTCTTCTTGTAAAAAAGTTCAAAAAATTGTGGATGAAAATGCTAAGAAGCGTGCTCAGATTCTAGAAAAAGAAAATTATTTGGTGAGAAATGTTTGTCTTACATGTAACTCTCAAGTTTTGAGCTTTAATAATTTGCTAAATTGACTCATTGATAACAAGTAATTTGATCTGTCGATCTCTTTACATTCAAGAACTCCCATATGCAGTTATATATGTGTATAGAAATGCACGATAGATTTATTTATGCACGGGCCATTTCCAGGGTGTCCAAGTTCGTGCGAAGCTCAATGAAGTTGAGGAGCTAAATAAGCGGGAGGAATCTCGGCAAGAAAGGATTGCAAAGGCCAAAGAGGACCTTGCTGCTGCTGAATTGGAATTGTCGAATCTGTCAACTTTTAAGCCCCCAAGGGAGGAAATAGTATGCCACTGTCCATAATAGCTTGATCTTTTATTGCAGTTTTTATACTAAAAATCCGTTAAATTGTTAAGGAACATTTGATATGCTTAATCATTCTCCTCATGTGAGAAAGGTTTACTCAAATATTTGTTTGCATTCTAAAGTTCTCAATTCAGGAGGTAAGCCCAAGTTATGGGCAAATATCTAGTAATTATCTGCAATTTTATGAAAAGCTTTCAAACGCTTACAAGCCATCTACGATTGCAGTATAGTTGCAAACGAGATTTGGAAATTATATTGGGAATCGCAATGAAAGATTACATGGGTTTCGATTGAAACTCGCTCCTTGGGTGAGCCGAGAGACTTGCATGAGTCCAGATAGACTCGTTTGAGTCTGCTCCTTGCTGAAAGTTGCCAAAAAAGCCCAAATTTTTTGAGATAATCCCAAAAAATCTTAAAAATAGCAAAATAAAAAATTATAAACAACATAAAAGTATATAAATTATCAGAAAATTTGATGAAAATTTGATGTAGCACCGAATGATATTGTAATTTGTAATTTTCTGCTATTGTAATGCTAATTCCAATTCCTATTGAGGCCCATCAATTTCCATTTCACATTGAAGAGTAAAGCTTAAGTTAAGGGATTGTCTACAGAGCAACCCTTAAGTTAATACATCACTCTGCACTCTACAATGTCAACATTCTAGATAGACTATCACCAACACTTACTCATAGTCTCATTGAGGGGTCCAATATTAAAAGATATCAATCTACACTCAGTACCAATAGGAGGATTGTTCGGTGTTAGTGACATGCTCTCTCTGAAATATCCATTTCATTGTGAGAGCGGTCCCTAACCCAAAGTTGCCAACTAGTCCAGCCCTCATTCTCTATTGCTCACTACCTTGGCTATGTCACGCATCACCTTGGTTCTCCTCTTCACTAGAGCCCCCCACCACCTTGACCCTATAGATCTTCTTGTGGTTGTACCTCTTTTTCTGTCTACTTGGCACCCCCTCCACTTCGACATCATATGGCTCATCAACAACTTGTGCTTCAAGAGCCCTCCTATTGATTGTTAGTTCTTCTCCTTCCATTAGCCATTCCTCTGCTGGATCCTCTTTGAATATGTAATCCTAATTAATATGATTGTAATCGTTCATCTCCCTTCTCAGCTACTTCTTTCTTACATTTATATTATAGTGCAAATAATCTAGCTTGTGCAGCCTCTCAGTTTTCAACGTGTTCCTCCTTGGAGCATAGATTCAATGGAATGTACTCCTCTTTCTCTTACGCACCGTTGTGAACCAAGTTTGGTTGACGATTCCAATTGTGATCCTTTCGCATTCATGTGCCTCACCATTTTACTGAAAAGACAAAAGATAAATTAGCCGTATAGGAGTACAAGCACACATACTAGTTATACTAGGATTTATGGCTGATGGAAAATTGAAAGCTAACCTAGTTCTATGTGTGCTCAGTTTCTTAAAGTGAGAATGAACCCATGCCTTGAGCATCAATGTATAAAGCAAGCTAAAACGACAAATTTCATATCCTCAATTTAGGAACTACAAGAAGATAAGGATCAATATTGTTTCACATTTTAAAGTTTTAAACAAAAGCTTTCTTCTTTCGAGGCTTCAATTTGGCATTTGGCTATAATCTTCCGATCCAATACTTCAACCCATCCATGATCTCAGGATGATCGCTTTGACCCTGTTAATAGTGATAATCCTTGTTCAATAGAACACCTGAATACATTGATAATATCAACGATCGAGTCAAATAGGTCAACATAAATAACAAGTTGAGATATGAATATAAATAATGCTTGAAATTAAAAGTTAATAGCTGGATGGATATGACGGTGGCGTGTGTCAGCCCACTTGTCATCAATGATGTTCCAAGCCATCTGACACTGCCATCTTCTTTTAACTAATGCAAGCGCATTGCCTTAGCAACATCCTTTTAATACATCTATAAAAGCATTTTTCTATACATCATAACATGAAACAATTTAAAATACAATATTTTTGAGAGGAAATATTGCTTTCAAAACTTATGCGGCATGCTAAATCCACAAAAATCCATAAAAAATGTAACTGCTGTCATCAATAAAAATGAAAAGAAAACCATTAGCAATATTGAGTTAATACATCTATAAATACCTCTTTTTATGCATTGGAATAATGAAAAATTAAATTGCTGGATTTTTGAGAGAGAGCACTACTTCCCAACCAATTGGAGCACGCTAGACGCATAAGAAAACCACAAAAAGAATCTTAATCAGTATCATCATCATCATCATAGCCTTTTCCCAATTAATTGGGGTCGGCTACACGAATCCTGGTCTACCATTCTGCTTCATTAAAGACCGTACCCTCAGTAGGCCATAAGTCCCTAATCTTAATTAGTATCATCACCCTAAAAATAAAATCATTAAAATGACAGATAGAATGTTATATCTGTGTACTTGGAAAAAAAGTCTCTTGATATACAAGACAAAAATAGAAAAATGGAATATTACTCATTTTTTGATAAAATGCAACAATAGGTAAAATCTTACTAGGTTGAGTGATACTGGAAAAAATAAATCAAATATATGAATTAAAATTGAAAAAAGATGAAATTTACCTGAAAATGTAGGCCAATCCCCAATTTTCACCTCTTACAAGATTTGGGTTTTGAGTTTGGATCTAGACAATTTGAGCCCTTGAAAGATTCAGATGAATAGTAAATCAGAATTTGAAATCTTGCAAATCCTTTTCTTTGTGTGATTTTTTGTGAAAAAAGCCTACAGTTGGATGAACAACCCATAAATAGGCTTAGGGAATAAATCTAATTGAATATCGACCATCTGTTGCTAATAAATCACAATTTTTTGAAATTGGGCCAACCTTTACCAAAATGTTCGATTGCTCAAAGCTGTCAAATTTATTTATTTATTTTGTTATTAAATATTATTTAACTTGTTGCTATATCATGCAAAATTAGTCTATGGATCAAATTTAAACTCAAACCACACTCTTTACACTTGAGATTCTATAAAATGACTTAAAAAAGGGAGGTAAAGTTTTACACTACCTGGGATAGTTTCTAAAATACTCGCCCAAGTATTGTACAAGGTGTTTATGCCCCCCAACTTTGGGGTTATTCCGGATCCGGGCGCGGCAGGTTGCAGCCAAAAGTAACTCTCCAAGTCCAAGTTAGCTAGGCGAGTTTTCTTTAACTCAGAAATTTTAATGCTGTGGCTTCTGTAGTTATGTGTTTATTCTAGTGTTTTTGTAGAAAATGTTTCAAAGTGCTCCTATGTTCATGTGCTGATTTTCTCACCAGTTACATCAAATTCGTTCAATGTATTTGAAATGTTGCCATTGGCTCAACCTCATTTTTAGAAATATCAAAACTATAATTTTGATTTGGTATTACCCTTTCTAAATATAAGTTGGGGGGAAGTTATGGCTAGCGTCTCATTTTTCTTCCATTCTTGTCCTTCTTTCAAATTATAGTATCTAATTTATGTTCGAGTTTGACATTGCCTAGTATAAATAGATTGTAATGTACGTAAATATGGATTAATTTGTGAATAGCTCATCATGTTTCTATTTGTTTCCTTGTATGCCCGAGATTTGAGTAGCATCACTCTTTGAACAATTTCGGAATGCCTAAGTGGTAATTTTTACTGCCAGGTTTGCTGAAACTGATACTACAGCTACATGTCTGGATGTTTCTTGTGTAGTGTGATGGTATATGAATTTGTGAGGTTGCACACTATTCTTCTTCCTAACTCATGATGGGTTGTAAAACTATGTTTGACATTATACGCTTTATCTCCAATATGCTCTGCTTAGGTTGACATGTTATCTTTATTTATTCTTTAGAAAGTTGAAAGGTTGTCTCTTTCATATACTGGTTCTTGCTTTTAAATCAGATAAACCCTAGGGAAGGTGGAAAGATTTAAGGTGGGTGCCATGCAAGGCAGGGTGTAGTGGAGATCTGTGTCTTCAGTTAATGATATCATGCATTTCTAACTGCATTTTTGAGCCTATGTAATTATTGGTGTAGACCGAGTGATCGGTAGGAGGGCAGGGATTGGACAAGTCTGTCCAACTTGCATTCTCAGTAGACAATTCAGGTTTTGTGTTTAGTGGGGTGACAGATTTCTTAGTAATAGAAGACCTGGATGGTCTAATAAGCTTGATGTCTATGCTCTAGGCCGAACTTTTCAAACAGCTTTATATTATAAATGATCTTGGTTTAATTTCTCCTTGGAAGTTGCAAACTATGGATTTTTAAAGAGAAGAATGGTTTCTCCAACCGAGAAAGTATAATATGTGCATGTCTAACCAATTTCTGAGGGCTGCATTATCTTTTTCAAATACTGGAAGTCTGGTTGTTATTTCAACTTTTTATCAATTGTAATCTTTATCCGCTCTCTTTGCTTAAATAGGAAAGACTAGGTGATCAGATTGTGGAACTTGAGGTTGCTGCAAAAGAACAGAGGACTCATAGGAAGGATCTGGAGAATCATTTATCTCAGAAGAAAGGAACGCTGAGGCAATGCATGGATAGGTTGCTTCGAAATCCTGAAGAACGTAATATTAACATTTCCCTTTTCTCCTGGCATATGGAATTGTTAGCTGATTATATTTCTATTGAAGGCTGAAGGAGATGGAAAATGCAAACGTCAAACTCCTTCAGGCATTGCAGCGAACTGGTGCTGACAAAATTTTTGAAGCTTATGAGTGGTTGCAAAGCCATCGACATGAGTTGAAGAAGGATGTCTTTGGTCCTGTTCTTCTTGAGGTATTTGTATTGAAATTGCGTTTTGAGACTTATCCATTTACCCTTGTTTATGAGTAGCATATTACTTTATCTATGCTCCAAAATTCTTATTGGTGTTTTCAGGTTAATGTCCCAAACAGAGGTCATGCAGCATACTTGGAAGGTCATGTCGCACATTATATTTGGAAGGTATCATTTTTCCTTGACTTTTAATGTATTGGCATCTTTTTTAGAAAAATGATGCCTCATTGTTTGGTAGCTCACTTCCTGAATTTTGCCTGTATAGAACTATAAACATGCACTTGCTCTTACACTTGCATACGTCATAGCATCATAGCTGATTACGTTTTTTTTTTCCCTTTATGCTTTGTTTGATGGTTTTTGCTTATGATGTGCTTCTTTTCTTTTTTGTGTCTTGCTTATGATACACGCAAAGTCATAAACAATATATGGGTATGCGTGTGTTAGCAGTTACATTTTCAGTGGCCCTTTCAGTGCCAAAGGTGTTTCTCTACGAGATTCCTTAAGCTCATTGTGAGGTTTGTACAAAAATGGTAGTGGGGAATGTGTGATTTATTTAATTTGAGTTACTTTGTATTTTTTAACATTGAATAAGTTATTATTGTAGTTTTTGGGTGGGTCCTGCGGGGAAGGAGAGTCTCAAGTTTAAAATATGAACATAATTAGTCATTTTGCTTCCAGTCCTTCCAAGGGATTTCTGGTCCTTGTTAAACTCTTGTTCCCTGTGGGGGTGCAGATGGCAATAAATCAAGAATTTATGTAGTCTAGTATTTCTAATACAGAGAGAGAGGAGGGAGTGGGAATGTGGGAGCAGCATAGGACCTATAGTCTTAGAACCAGCTAGTAGTCATTATCCTTATTACAGTTGTGACATGTACCACGCACCTCGAGTGTTTGGGGTAGCACCATTCTAATTATCCAAGAAACAGCGTAGAATCACTATCCTTGTTGCAACAGGAACATATAGCATGCACCTCTAGTGTATTGCATGTGGTACGCATAGACACATACATCCCCATAAAGGATAGTAGAGATTAACTGTAAACCAGTGAATGACCATCATTGGGATGGTTAATTTCCACGATTTTCAAGAGCAGATGCTGGATTCCCCTACAGTTAACCTTCTACCATTTTTCAGTGGTGTGTGGTATGCTTTGGCAATTACCATATACTGGGTCAGAAGTTTTTAAAAATTCAGTGGTTTTCTAGCTCCCTCCAAGAGTGTCGCTCATGGGGAACGGGTAGCAGTGGGCAGGAAAAGATGAAACATTAAACCCCCTCCCCGCTACGTTTTTCCACCCTCAGAGGGTCCCCTGCCCCAGAAGGAAGAGGTGGGGGGTTCACTAAGGCATAGCTTGCTATACCCTTCATCATCTCTGTCTCTGGGTGCCTACATTAGGTCAGGTTTGTAAGCCTTTCCTCGTTTGAGCTTCACCAGAGAGAGAAGCAAATTGAACCGAAGGTTCAATGAAATGAAAGCAACATGGGAGGGAGACAGCAAGGTAGAAAGCTGTAGTTGGTTCTAGCTGGATGAGGATTCTTATGGTTCCCTCCGCTCCCTTGTTTCATAGGAGGAATAGTGGTAAATACACTCCTCGCCTGGCTAATGTTGGATTTTATGGCGTAAGTCTTCCTCTTGTTCATGACTCTCTTGAACAAGGGCTTTTACAAGACTTCACAGACCTACCCTGCCAATGTTTTGACATTGCTTTGCCCTCAACAACGAGGGCTTTAACAAGACTTGGCTACTGCACATCAAATTACGTATATCTATGTTATATAGAGTTTTCATATATAACATGCATACATTATTAGCTGATGCAAACCTTTTAATTGCTCTGGGATCAATAGTGCATTTTACTGCAATGCAGGTGCTTTGATATTCCATTAATGTAGGTTCTTCCCAACTTAAATATTGCTTTATATCTTAGTCATCAATTGTATCTTGGAGGGGACACTGACCTGATACATCTGATATAATTTCTTCTGTTTCACACTACATTCATTTTAATTTCCTGAAATTTGTAGTTTTTGCACTCGTAAATATGGCTGTCTGAGAATCAATTATTCGTGGCTGCTTTCGTTTCTAAAAGTTCCCTAGCTATCTTCATTTACTCACTATGTATCCACAGTCCTTCATAACTCTGGATCCTGCTGATCGTGATCTTCTAGTAAACAATTTAAAGGCATTTGAGATTCCAGTCCTGAACTATGTAGGCAATATAAATTCTGCCAAGGTGCCATTTCAAGTTTCAGATGAGGTAATCTCAATTGCAGTACCCACAACTCTGCATTGTCTGTGGAATTCAGAACTCTGCATTGTCTGCATCACCCCTATATCGGTCATTTTTACATATTTTCTATAATGGGCAGATGCGGGACCTGGGTATCACTTCAAGACTTGATCAAGTTTTTGAGGCTCCTGAAGCTGTGAAAGAAGTTCTGATTAGCCAATCTAAGCTGGATCACTCGGTACACATGGCTTCTCAATCTCAACTTCTTATGCATCATTCTAGTCTTTTTCAGGTTTCAGATTATAACTGTGGTTTGGTACACTGTAAGTCACAATATCACACATCATTTAATTTATATTCTCTGTGGAGATTTTGGGTCTGGTACTTGAGCACACATTAATTTCAGTAGCACATTGTGCAGATGCATAGTTATGGTGGCTCTTTTGGACTTAATTTATAGCCATTTTTGTCATTGGACTATTCCACAGTTTATTGGGTCAGCTGAAGCTGATAAGAGGGCTGATGAAGTGGCACGGTTAGGGATTTTGGATCTTTGGACTCCGGAAAACCACTATAGATGGTCTAAATCTAGATATGGTAACCATGTATCTGCTAGTGTTGAAGTGGTGCATCCATCACGCCTCTTTTGTTCTAGTACGTTCTCACAAGAGATGCTTTTTCCTCCTTTTCCAATGGACCAATACATGTAAATTGACCCACCTATTCATTTTGCACTGTCAGGTTTGGATTCTAAGGAAGTTGACAACCTTAAATCTCGGAAAAGAGATCTAGAGCAGACTATTCTTGGACTGGAGGAGAACCTTAAAACACTTTTAAGTGAACAAAGGCAATTGGAGGATGAAGAAGCAAAACTGCATAAGCAAAGAGTATGGCAGATAAAATATGAAAGACATGAACCACTTATGTTACTTTTATTAATATGTTTGATTATTTTCAATTTGTAGGAGGAGATTGTAAACATTGCTAAATTGGAGAGGAAAAAACGACAAGACATGGAAAATCGTATTGGTAAGCATTGAATGGTGGAGGGGGGGGGGGGGGAGGGTTGGAGGGAGAGAGGGCGTGTTGGATTGGTGGAGGATGTGGTTCCAAAGCTACATCTTCCATCAGCTTCCGAAGTGACTGTTTCCATGGGGAGCGTGGAAGCCGCCGCTTCTCTCTTTTAGCGGAAGTCATGGGAAGTGGCAGCTTCCAAAAGAGCGTGGCACTTCGGTTATTAAACACAGAAAGTGCTACAGTAACAGGAAGCCATGGCTTCCAGTTATCCATGTGCAGAGAGAGAGAGAGAGAGAGAGAGAGAGCACAGTAGAACAAGACCCGACCCAAATGGTAGGTTCCACTCATTTTCCATCACAATGCATCTCTCTTTTGAGGATAACCCAATAGGCATGGCCTTTAACAGCCCATTTGCATAGTATGCTTTCCCTCTAAATTTTGTATTTGAAGTTGCATAATTTGTTTTCAAACTATGTAACCGTGACGTAGTTTGATGTGTCATCTCTCATTCAAGTGTTGTACTATTTCTGTTTTGGGATTAGACCAGCGGAGAAGGAAACTGAAATCTATGGAGGAAGAGGATGACCTTGAGATTTCCACAAGAAGGCTCATTGATCAAGCTGCTAACCTGAATGCCCAACGGGTCAAAAAGGCTATTGAACTTAAGGTGGATTTGTCCATTACAATTAGGGTTTCCAGTTAATACTACTGTAAATGCTTATGAACTTTTGGGTCTCTCTCACTCTCTCTCACTTTCTCTCTCTCCCCCCCCCATACACACACACCAACCCCTTCTCTTTCTCACTTTCTCATGTCTGGCTTTGTTAGTTGTTTTTCTTGCACTTCATCATCATCATCATAATCATTATCCAAGCCTTATCCCAATGATTTGGGGTCGGCTACATGAATTTTGTTCCTCTAATAGGTACAAGATTCATGATGAGATGTGGTAAAGTTTTACACTTGGTGCATACCTAACACAACCACCTCTTTTACATGGGCTTGGGATGGGTTAAGGGAATAAGGGCCTCACCCTTGTTAGACCTTTTCTTTTTCCTTGCACTTACTTTCATGAATTAATATGTCAACTGGAATTAATTCTTCCCAGAATTTGCTTATTGAAGCCATTGCCTTGAAGTGGAGCTATGCTGAAAAGCATTTCTCAGCTATTGAACTTGACATGAAGGTATGATCCCTTTTCTAGATGTCATTTCTTGGGGATAGAAAGCATAATTTTGGCTCCACATAGGCATTTTAGAAAAACCTGTGATCTTTGTATTGTTGCATCGTTGAATATTTGTTAATTAATGATTTAGTCAAAGCATAATATTTGCACCTGACATGTTAATAAATCAGACCATTGATGCTTGCATCTTGAAACTTATTCATTGTGTCTCCTTGTTTATACACCAGCTTTCGTATTCTTTTTAGATTTGTTTTCGAGAATGGAATAAAATAGTGTATCTGTATCAATCTACGATTACGGTGTTTCTTCTTTTCCTCTGATATTGGATTTTCTAGATTAGGGAACTAGAAGCAGGCCTCAAAGAACAAGAGAAGGCTGCATTGCAGGCATCACAACAATATGAGTGTTGTAAGTTCTTTAATTTGATTTCCATTTCGTATTGGAACTGTATTTTTACCTTGAAAGACTGATTGGTTCCTGGACTAGCAACATCAAGTATATGATTACTTTTTGTTGCAATTATGGAATCTATTGTTGGACACTGACGTGAGATTTGTATTTCCCGCTGAATTATTACATGTATGCACCACCGAAAAAAACTAAGAACGGTGAGCAAAATATTCACCTGCCTGGGCGCCTTGATTGCCCCAGGGACAATGCAAATCAAATGGGGCCTATGTGAGGCCCTGTGCGAAAATGTACCATGCCTCCCACCTTGGCAACCTGATGATACACTTGGATGAAAGCAGAAAAAGGTCTTCGACTAAGGGCACAAACTGATAGTGGCATTTTAGCCCTCATTTTCTCCATGAAAAACAATTTCAAAAGCCATGTTCTGAGATTTTTTTTGAAGATTGAGAAAATTTTCAAACTTTTTCATTTCTTGCGAAATCGAAAAAGCTTTCAATTTGAAACTTTTTGATACTTGAAGTGGTTTCTAAAGAGGTATTTCAGTAACCAAAGGTCACTGATTCAAGTCGAAATCAATTCAATCTTCAGAGGTGAGTGTAATTTCATTTCTTGGTTCAGGTTTTGGTGATATTTATAAAGGACAAGGTTTCTATGAGTTGGCCGACTCATCTATTTGAATGAATCCTCTCTCCAAGATCTATTAGATGTGGATTTTGGATTCAAAATTTTAGGGAATGGAAATCTCAACAATGATGAGTAGGAATATAAAAATAAATTTTAAAAATAAAAAAATAGATTTTAGGTTACATTGTTATTGTTGGTTTCCTATATAATTGCCTAACAAGGTTATCAAATGTGGGATAAGGAATCAACATGATAGGGTATCCAATGCACTATGCAGCTGAATGTATTCTCAATGCAGGTGCATCACTTCTAATGTGATCGATAATTTTTTTAAAAATAAAAATATAGAAAATATAGGAATACAAAGAACAACATGGTATATGATAGTGGGCATTTTTTCGTTGGTATTTGACTCTAAGACATCCAATGTCTGAGTCCTTGATAGCCTGATAAAAAGTAACAAAGACCTATCTTTGTTCCCTACATCAAATTAAGGGAAGGAAATTCATTAAAATATCTATGAGAGATGAACTATTTAACATTAGTTCAAGATTCATGAAATAGACATGGCAAAATTGTTTGTTGGCAGCCCACTTAACACAACCCTCCTCCTTTCTCCGGGCTTGGGACCAGCCATGGTGGAGTTGGCAAAGCTTTATGAATAACATGACTTTCATTAATGAGATTAGAGATGGTGTCAACACACAGTTAGAACTTTAGAGGGATACTCTAGTATTTAAAGGTTTTAAAATTAGACGGACTAAGAATATATAGAATGCAAGTTCGGTAATAATATGAGAAGAAATGAGAAATTAGTTGAGATTGATGGTCATGAAACACATAAGGGATTATTTTTGTTATCTTGGGTCGATAATCCATGAGAATGGAGAGATTGAAGAAGATATTGTGCGTAGAATTAGAGCTGGGTGGAAGTAATTGTGCTTTACAAAGTCTTATGTAATGGTCACATACCAATGAAACTGAAGGGGAAGTTTTATATGATACTGTAAGACTAGCCGTGCTTTATGTGACCGAATGTTGGGCAGTCAAGAAACAACATATTCATAGAATGTCGTAGCTGAGATGGGGATGTTGAGATAGGAGAGTGGCAAGACAAAGAAAGATAGAATTTGTAATACATTAGAGGGAACTTAGGGGTGGCTCCAATAGGTGATAAGATGAGAGAAAGTAGATTTAGATGGTCTGGTCATTTGCAGCATCGACCTAGAGCAACACCGGTTAGGACGGGCGAGTTGGTTCAATTGGAGGGCTCTAAAAGGGTAAGGGAAGGTCCAAAAGGACATGGATGAAAATAGTGAGAAGAGATATGGTGACCTATGATCTACATGAATGTAAGCCCTTGATAGAGTGGAATGGCAGAATATGACTCGTGTAACCGTTCCAAATAGTTGGGATAAGGCTCAATTGATGATGATCATGATGATGATGAACTATTTAGTTGTTTATCCAAATAGTTTGATTTAATTTTAAAATACCTATCAAAAGACACATGATTATGAGTTTGAATAGTTGTAAATGTGTAAAATGTTAAATAGTGCATCCCTTATGGGTAGTTTGATAAATTTACCATAAATTAAATAAAACACATAAGAATATGTATTATACCTAGTTACTGATCAAGTTCTTAAAAATAAAAAAATCATTTGACAACTATGTATATTGTAACAAATAGCAAAAAGACACACGATTATGAGTTTGAATAGTTGCAAATGTGTAAAATGTTAAATGGTGCATCTCTTATGGGTAGTTTGATAAATTTACCGTAAATTAAATAAAACACATAAGAAAATGTATCATACCTAGTTACTGACCAAGTTCTTAAAAATAAAAAAGCATCTGGCAACTATGTACATTGTAACAAATAGCCAAAACCCAACCAAATATTAAAGGGTTTAATTGTCAACTTTTTGAGCGATAAAGACCAATTTTGCAATGTTTTGATTTTTAGTGTTTTGATTATATAGATGTCAAAATATGGATGTCAAATCTCTTTTCTGGACTTTGTACAGGGCCTTGTATGCCCTTTTCTCTGTGATGTATAGACCGCCCAACATGTGGGATGCAATTTTTTGGACAAGGAATGTATATGATTTTGCAGCAATGAAGATGTACAGGGCCTTGTATGCCCCTTTCTCTGTGATGTATAGACCGCCCAACATGTGGGATGCGATTTTTTTGACAAGGAATGTATATGATTTTACAGCAATACAAATGTTAACCTTTTCTCAAAAAACAAAAGAGAAAGAAAGTCTAATTGTTTAAAAGTACTTCACAAGTATATTACATCCAAATGTTAAGAGGGGAAGCAATTTGATTGAGGTGAACTTCTCAGATGAAAGCCTAAAATGCAAAAAAAAGAAAAAAAGCAACATGCCAAAGTGAATCTGAATTTTGTCACGCTTCACATTTGTTTTTTTATACCAAATCAAATAATTTAAAGGTTAAAAGAAAAACTAATATTAAGAGGAGATACAATTAGATTTATGTGAATTTTATTTCTTCAAAAAAGTATATAACATCCAAAAGCCAAAAGTATGGCTTTAAAAATAAGTTTTTGCCTTAAATCTTTCAAAAGATAGGACATGAATCAATGCAAACTTTTATTTGAATAAGACTTAATTTTTTTTTTTTTTTGGAATGAGTCAATCTATCAATGTGAACTTTTTTTTAAAAATCCAGAAATGTTATCTCAATCTTCAAAATGGAAAGAGAAGTCTGATTCTTGATTTTTTACTTTAATCCCCTTAGAAGCATGAAAAGTGGCTCTGAGGACCGTATGGGGGGGATATACCCTGTCCAAATTCCCCTGCTTTCTGGGAGGGTCAAATGACCAAAATGCCCATTCTTGTGAGCATCATTCCGCCTACAAGCAGGCTCCTGGATATGCAGGTGATGTGACACCTTTGTGGGCACATCATGCTAGCCCACATGCATGGACATATGTGGTGCGCTCTATGGGGCATCCACTTTGATGTGGCCGCATAAAGTGTTTTGCAGCCGTTTTTGATAACTTTGCTGCATAAATCAATGTTGATCATAAATGGGAGATTCATTTTGCTTCCAACATATTCTTTCATGATTGCATCGAAGCATATTGCGGTGGATCTCTGCTTCACAAAAGAGAAACCTGGATGACATCACTGCTGCTCTTCTTTACATCGCTTTTTTTGAGTTTTATATTTGTGGGGAGATCCATACATACTCTGATGATTTTTTGTTTTTTACTTGACAACTTTCATATGTGGATTGTTCCTCTACTTGAGTTTGAGAGTGATTATTTAAGTACTCCACTTGTTTCTTTGGTGTAGTGTGCATCATTTGTATATTCCCATGCCAATTCTATTTTAATCATTTTGATATGCTTTTCTTGTAAGGAAGTTTTAGTTTTTCTATAACCAAGGAACTGTTTAACTTAAATATATTATGGTTTGCCTCCCACATGACCTGATGTGATTTATTTTCTGCTTGTCAGAATATGTATGTAATATCAGTATCAGCCCCCCTCTCCCAACGCTCATGGCTTGCCCTCGGTCTAGTTCAGTGTCTATGTCGATTCATAACTTGTTTATGTTATTTTTATTTAGCGGTCACAGTACGTTTTGTTTCTTTTCTCAAATAAACATGGTGTTTACTTCTTCCACCTTGCATCAGCTTCTCTATTACCAGTTGTAATTGTCTGAATTTATTGACACTAGATAAAATGATAGGATAAAGCAGATGAAATCTAATTCTAAAAGGATTTGGACTACTGGGTTGAGTCTCTTATCAAATTTTACAAGTAATGACATGGCAAGTGTCTAGGTCAAGTTCTCAGTGTCTTGGGTTGACTCAAATTTTTTTAATCTTTTCCATGTCATTTGGGGGAAGCTTGAAGTATAATCTAACTTGTTTATAAGTCGACACTGAACCTTTAAATTTTAGATGGTATTTTGTTCAATTTTGTTCATGGTACTGTATGTTTGTTTGGAAGTGATTTATTCTTAGAATGTTGTTTTTTATCTCTATATATTTGATGCTTCAAAAGAAAATCATTTTATTTGTAACAACTGTGGCAGCCAAAGAAAATGCAGAGAAATGCAGACATGAGCTGCAAGCAGCCAAGGAGCATGCAGACTCAGTTGCTAGGATTACTCCCGAACTTGCAGGAGCATTTCTTGAGGTGTGAGAAATTGTCTTAAGACGTGGTTGTCTTAATTGCTTACTACCTTCATATACATTGTGAGTGTGACTCACATAGGAATTAGGTTGATAAATATTTCTTATGTAGTAAGTTTTAAATTCTAGCTGTGTTATGTGTTAACATGATTGACTAATCACTTGATGCTTGTATTTGATTTGTATCACATTGTTCATGCAACATCTGATGCTTTTTGCAATAGATGCAAACAAGTATTCAGCTTGGGCGAAATTGGGCCAACTTAGAGGCAATGCATTAACAGAAACAAACACCTAACAACTGTTGCACCTTGTCCATGAGTTGATAAAACACAATCTTCTAATTGGAGGAGGGAATAACTCTAGCAATGTTCTAGTTCTGATATTGGATTTGCAAGTTCTGTCAATACTCGATTATTGGGAACTCTAAATGGGTCGTCCAAAGAGATGTTTAATCAAAGAGAAACTTCCCTCAAGCGGTGTTGATTTATGAATCTTATGGATCAATTCTTATGATTTTCTTTGAACCTTTAGCCTGCTATATTCATGGGATAACTCATTCAGTTATCCGTAATAGAATTGAGAGTTGTTATTTTTATTTGTTCTGCATTTCTTATTCTAGTTTTATAATCAGTTTGATTTTATTGTTGTATCTCCCATAGTTTGAGAATGCCTGACATACTTGACCTCAAAAATATTTTTGCACGAGGTTTTTAGATTTTAGATATTGGATCAGTTCTATTCGAAATCGGAATCCTAGATTTTGGGATGTCTTACAATCATTGGAACTATGTGAAATCACTGAAATTTCAGTTTAATTTCTGCCCAAATTCGTTCTCTCTCTCTCTCTCTCTTGTTTTTTTTTTTTTAATTTGAAACTAAACTAGTTACCATAAAATCATAAGTAAATGAATGAAGTAAATTAATGAATCCAAGCTCAGTCAACCAAGTTTGAGAAATTAGGGAAAATATCATTTAAAGGGTTGAAACCCCTTAAACTCAATATAAGGGGTCAAAAGATAATAATTTACATTTGAGGGTTCCCATTTAAATTTCTATTTGAATGAAGTACATCCTAAGTAAAAAATTCCCAAATTGCCCCTATTTGGAATTGAGAAGACTGAGTAATTTGGTCCATTTTGGTAATTTTATCCCCAAAGAGGCCTCAACAAAATGACAGAAATGCTTATGCTTGTTTGAATTAGAAATAACAAACAAATTGTTCGGGATTTGATGAGGAAGAATAATGGGTATTTATGTCATTTGACATAGGGAAGTCCAAACAAGCAATAGTATTTCTATCATTCCGTTAAGGTGTCTTTGGGGGTGATATTACCAAAATGCCCCCCAATTATTTAGTCTTCCCAATCCACAACAGCGGCAATTTGGGAAATTTTTTATTTGATCTTATTTTACTTTTTTAGAGGGCGTACCTCATTGAAGAAGGATTTAAAAAGGAAACCCTCAAACGTAAATTATGATCTTTTGACCCCTTTATTGATTTTTTAAGGGGTTTCAATCCCTTAATTGATATTTCGCTCTAAATTTCTGCTGGTCTCGCCCCAATCAGGAATGGTCAGCTTAAAATTGCGGTGTATACCTTGCTATAGTTGACTGATTTTCAGTCAAACTTTTTTCTTCCTACATTGCTCTTAGGCATCAGATTGAAAATAGATTCAGATTAATATTAGTTCGGTTAAAATCTTATCTTATTTCCATGTTCAAGATCTGATCATTGGAATGAAATTCCAAATAATAATGTTTGCCCGGAGACTGTATGATGAATCTGTTTCTTCTCTTAGGAAGTTCAACTTTTATATGGATCTCTTTGTGGGTTATCCTAATCATTTCTCTAAATCTTATTTGGCTTTAGAAACTCCACTATGGACTGTACTACTGTATCTTTCAAAGTAGTTATTTTCCCTTTTCTATTTGCTTGTTGCTGAGCTCTAGTAAAATTTGTGGGCTGGAAGGAATTATGCTCCACTTAGTTGATACACGTTCGTGAAGCTTTTTAGCAGAAAGTGACGCTTGGGAGGTATCATTCCTTCTTGACTAAATTATTTAACAAATGGTGGCAGATGCCTACTACAGTAGAGGAACTAGAGGCTTCCATTCAAGATAGTATTTCTGAGGCCAATTCTATTCTTTTCCTTAATCACAATGTTTTGGAGGAATATGAAAATCGACAGTTTCAGGTATTCCCATTCATTTATTTCATTGTTCGTTGTTGCAGTCTTTCTGTCTCATCCATTCTTCTGTTTCATACAGATAAATCAAATTTCTGAAAAACATGAAGCAGATAGCAAGGAACTGGATAATTGTTTATCAGAAATCGAGTCCCTCAAGGTGAGGACCTTAGGAAAGTTTATTATGTTATTGTGGAATATGGGGATGCCTGGATCCATTTGGTTGATGGACCATTGTTGAGAGAATGGGACCTACTGAAACAGAACATGACTCCAAGGTTGGGTCCCACTGATGGACGATAATAACCCAATGAATTATGAGATTTTCATATCCTATAGATTAAAGTTAACCTTTTCCAAAGTATTATTTCTCCCTGGTACCAAGTTTTGTTTAAGATGATAAGCATCTGCTGTATTTGCTCATCATGACAATAGCTGTATTCTGATCATAAGATTGATGTAGGAAAAGTGGCTACCAACATTGAAGGACCTTGTCGCCAGGATTGGTGCAACCTTCAGCCGCAACTTTCAGGAGATGGCTGTAGCAGGAGAAGTTACACTCGGTATCTCTTAAGTTCTTTTTTATATGAGAAGTCTGTATACCAATCATATATACTATGCTGAATCTCTTTTGCTTTTATATCACAGATGAGCAGGGCACAGATTTTGATAAATATGGGATACTTATCAAAGTCAAGTTCAGGTAAATTAGCGACCTTTAGATTGGTCACAATCCAACTAGATTTCATGGTCTATGCAATATTCATTCATGAATCTTGGAAAATATATAAAAAAATTCACCTTGTTTGCTCAAGTAGTCTATTCCGAGGGAACCTTAGACATGATAAGATTAACCAATCCATCTAGGTTTAGAGATAAGCATTTTGATATGATCATGTTGCCTATGTTTTGATGTCTGGCCCATTGGCTTTCGAAATGCATCTGACTTTGTATGTGAGTTAGACAGCTAAGTTGTTTTACAAATTACATAAGAGCATTTTTCCATCCGACGTTGCCAGGAAATGTATTCCTCCAGTGACCAAGTGCTGCTTTCTTAAGGATGTCTACAACTAAAGTCGTGTCCCTCCCGAACATTGCTATGTTTTTATGACCTATTGTAGAATTCTACATTTCTGGGAACCTGCTTAGGCGGGACCAGCACCGGGTTATGGCCTTTAGTAGAATTCTGCATTTGCTTCATTTAGCTCTTCTTTATTCTTCAATGCCTGCCCTTAAAATAAATGCCTTGTCCAGATATTGCCATCTTGTCCATATATATTTATGCAGCTTGTGTTATCTTTGGTAGATCTTATGTTCAATGAAATTTAGTCATTTACTAACATGTATATTCAAGGTGGTGGCCCTTGCATATTGAATCATATCAGTTGCTCCAGTATAGTTTCCAGTATGATTTTATCCTTCCATGGGAGTTGGTTTATGTTGTATTCTTTTGGTTGCAAATATTGCCCATACCATACTACTAAACTAAATTTCTCATGCTTCTTTGGCACCTGATGTTAGTGATTTTGTTTCATTTTTTTTGTTTGCTCCAAATAAGAAGGCCAATGTATTTTTTGTCCAATCATTTATGCTGTTATATCATGCTTTAAATTCCAGGCAAACAGGACAGCTTCAAGTGTTAAGTGCTCATCATCAGTCCGGAGGGGTATAAATCCAGCCACGTTCTCATTTTGATCTTCGAATAATCATATACATGCGTGGTTGATCATTCTGTGATTCGCTTGTCATATCAGGAGCGTTCTGTTTCAACTATTCTCTACCTTGTTTCTCTGCAAGACATAACAAACTGCCCTTTCCGTGTGGTTGATGAGATCAACCAAGGTAACACACACGCTCAGAGAGAGAGAGAGAGAGAGAGAGAGAGAGAGACAGAGAGTAGTATTA